TATTCATTCAACTGCCTGATGACGGCCCTGAGTCGCCGGAAATCGTGAATATCACTTATACTCTCAAATGCGCCAAAGAACTCGTCGGCATAAAGCCCGTGCAACGCTTGCCCTGTGATGCGCTCAAAGCTGGTGCTGATGTTGAGAAGATATCCCCTTTGCTGTTGTCGGGTGGTGCGTGGGGAGCCCAGCTTTGAGAGCGCCTTCTCCCGATTCAGAAGCCTTTTCTTTGATGTCGGCTAATAGCCCGGGAAGGTTACGACGAATTGAATAAACAAAATACTGCTGAGGCGCCGCCGGAGACTCTCGATTCCGACATTGTTCCTTGATAGAGATGACCATCGGCCCTGGTTGAAGAATTCCTTCTCTCTTGCATCGCGAGCGTCATCCGGGATTTCCCGGGTTTCAAAGGAGCGATTGCGCAAAACGTGCCATCCTAACTGCAATCGAATCTTTTCATTAGAGACAAACTGGAGATACGTCTTCTCCTCCTCTGAGTCGGGTTCAAGAGTATCCGGTTGCGTGATGATTCCGAGCGTGCGCTCCCGCTTTGAATCAAACCGTTCAGCAATGTTCAGAACCTCCTGGAGATGGTAGTCGGCCTTTGCGCTGATGACTGCAAGGATGATGCTTCTTTTGTTCTTCATATACTTTTCCGTCAAGGTTCGGACTACCCTGATTCCTTCCAAGCTCTGGTCCTGGCTCACAGAGTAATAAAGGCCAGGCAAGTTCACCAAGGTCAATTCTGGCTGATCAGGCCCCAGAATCTCGACCTTTAGAACATCATCACTAAATCCAGAATGGGCTGTTTCATCTACGCCCATTTGGCCTTTGGCCTTCTCGATGACAGTTGGTAAATCATTATCGGCTGGGGATAGCTCCTGTGCAAACGCCTGCAGAATTGCTCGTTCTCGTGCATCTTTACGCGATGGCCCCGGTTCGATGGAGATCTTAATTGTGGGTGTTGGGCTTCGGCGCAGGATGACGTCGGTCGCGAATCTCGTACAGATGTTGCTTTTCGCTGGGAATCTAACTCTGGAGATAGCTTCAAGGACGGAACTCTTCCCACTTGATTGGTTACCGCAAACCACCAGCTGAGGAAGTTCCACGAGGCTGCCGACTCCAATCGCTCGTAGCTCGTCGATGCCATCTAGCAGCTTAGACTGTTCTCGTTGCAGCTGATGTAACGCCTCTTCCGCGGGTGTGGTAGGCATGACGATGTAGCTTTGGTTAAGTCAGATAATGGGACATGGAGTATTGCGACAAAGCGAGGAATTACTTCTGTCGCGGCAGGAGATCAGATTAAAGAGGCGATGCCAGCTCCAGGGACATCACCCATCTACTCTAACCGCCCATGTCCCTTGAAACCGAGCAATTATCTGGCACAGCGACCTTGCATTAGCGTCTGTAACGTGATGGGTAGCCGGGCAGTCTGTCTGGTCGGCCGGTCGAACGCTTCGGCGCTAATGAGGGCTCGGTGGTTCAGGCGTAGCCAATCTCGCTTTCCAGAGCATAGCATAGCCTCTGTCTACATATCCAAGGGAGGCGGAAAGAGCACTTTCTGCGCATGATGTGAAAACTTGAGTCGCACTTAGGATCTTTTGTTGCTATGCATCCCGATTTCTGTCCACAGAAGCACTGCAAAGATTATATGACTTGCCCAGTGGCTGTATTGTATCCCTGCATCAACAAAAGGGAAGCTGGTCCCGAGTCAGAACCACCATTAGCTTCCCCCACTTGGCTCCTTGATCGGCTAGACCAACCTATCACGAGTCTAAGGCTGCCCGCTAACGTCTACGGAGGTTTTGCGGAGGTCTTTATCTTTTCCCCTGCACTGCCTCTTGTGGGAGAATATCTTTTCCATTCATCCTGCAGATGGTCGCGAACTGGTGCTTTTGAGAGTCCTGGTCAGCGCGTCGACATTTTCTTCTAGGTATATTGTCAGCGAATACGGGCATCTGGAGCACTAATTAGCTGGATGCTGTTTCTGACAAGAATACCTACGTCTAGGTGCTACCGCAAACCTAGAAATGTAGATCTTTCGCAGATGTTGACATCGGGGATGCTATCGGCGGGTGGCCGCAGAAGTCGACTCCACCTTTCCGGGCGGTGCGGACCTCCGTATCATCCGTTGCGCCTTATGTACATGCGTGCATATGTTCAACTCAAAGGCACTGTCACTGTCTGTGTGCTATAGCATCAAGTCTGAGTTTATTATTAGGGTCGTCCATCTGATACTACTTGGGGAAGATTGGATTTAGTGCCTTTTGATCATCATACCAATTGAATTAAACTGACAGTGTACTAAGGCACACGATTTGGCAGTTAATATATATATCCACACCAAGTTACATTATGTGGAATTACTAGTAGCAGGTGAACACACTGAAGATCGGACTTCTGGTAGTATGCAGAGTAGCATGGAAGTAATAATTCTCGTAAAACTAGTGGTAGTAAGTGACAATTGGCAGCATAATTTCCTGAACATGGTCACCTTGTAGGACCCACGAACACTAAGTAGCGTTTGTGACTTCGTGCTCGTAAACAGCAGACTACTAGTAGTGGGAATCCGAATTGAAGCCTTGTGTGGGACAGACGACTAAATCTTACTGAAACTGAATCTACAATAGTCATGGATCTCCGATAATACTTAGAAATCCTATCTTCAGGTATTACTCCGTTTAATTGGAATCTTCTGTCCTGAGAATCCAGCCGAGGCAACTGAGTACACGTGAAAACAATTCCGGCTTCGTGTATGATATAGCTGACTATGTCCAATTCATATGATACTAACTAAGATACATGGTAGGAAAATCCAATCGTAATGTTTGTTGTGATCCTCCCATTCCGCCACCATCTACGAACTGAATACTTTGCATCTTGCTCAATGTCAAGTCCAGTGTTGAGGGAAGCGGAGGATTGACGGGGGAGTGGATCCATCCGTGTCCAGTTGTTGGGGATAACCCCAAATCCAAGAATGTTCGGTGGAGCCCACCAGCCGCGGCAGAAGGCAGTAGTCTAGAAGGCGTAGAACTCCCGGGCGGGTTGCCCGGCGAGGCAAGCAATTATTATTGACACGAGTAATGCATCCTTGCCGACCGGCGGGCCGTGTCGGAGCCCTGCGCGATGAGGCAGAAAGTCTAGAGCATCCCTTCCAAAGTCTAGAACTGCCTCAAGGGATAATCATTGTGTTTGGGGTTCCGATCGGAGGTCGACGGAAGAATGATCATCTCGCGGAGCAATTGATCGGACATCCGGAGTTACGCCGATGCCCCCAGCGTAATGGCATCTTTACGACTTCTCTCCCCTTCTTCATCATCGGGATGTAGAGCGGGCTCGCCCCGCTGCAGATAGTATGCGATCGGACGACGTCTACGGAGGATAAGGCGGGTTGCTCGGCGACTTTCATACTCTTAAACCTGTCTGCGAGTCCGACGCTGCGGGATCTTGCTTGGATGTCGCCCGAAGTTCTTTGCATGCAGCTCCGATCTTGTCAAAGTCTTCTACAAGTGTTAGCTGGCAGTAGGATCTGTTTTCCGTATCCAAGTCACTTTCTTCCAGCCGATCCGGTCTCCGTCCATTGCGAGTCTGTGATGCTGGAAGGGTGGTTGACGAGAGTTGTGAATATCACCTCTCCTCCGCTAGTCCATCGACAAACCTCTGGATCCTTGGGAGATGTTTGCACAATCCATTTCGATAAATGAAGCTGGCTGGGAGGGATTTTTATCCAGGTCATTCCGAGGCGACATGGTTGTCCTGGCATAGTTGTGGCGATTGTGAACCGGCCACTGCCTTGGCGTTGTCGGTGTGACGCGGTTTGCTCCGTGTCCATCCCCATCTTCTACCGAATATCTGCGACGTGATGTGATGGGATAGGTTGAGAATCATGTTGTTGAGGTTGCACTGCCGACTGCTTGGTGTGATTTATCTGGCATTGTGAGGGTCCAACATATTATCCACATCATCACCCCAGTGATAATCTTCGCCTGCATCGTGCCCCTCAGCCCTGCCACACTGTTCTATTCTTATCGATATCCTGCATTCCAGCTATTCTTAGCACAGTGCATCCCACTGGGCATTGACAGGTTGCTGAGTGCATCGGCAATGAATGGTGACAGATGGTGATGCGGTGTTCAGCTGCACCAGCCAGCACATCCCGACTGACTGCCGCTTGGAATAGAAACATCAGTCGGACTGCCTCTCCAACACTTCACTGCGGTCGCATCCGGGCAATAGTCATAATAACACAACAACTTCTCTCGTGTTCCCAATAAAGAAGCCAGGAGGCTTTTAGTGCCGATAAATTGCCCTGTCCTCGATTATCCGATTTGATCCGGTGATCCGGCTTGTCCACCTGCCGCGAAGGATGAACAGGATTCACCAGGGCCACCCTATCCCACTGTGGCTCCATGATCGCCATCCCCACCCGGCCTGGAAAACCCCAAATGATGGACGTGGCGCATCCGAGACATGCATGCAGTGAGCCGTCTCTGTACCCAGCCTCCCCTTCAGCCCCCAAAAGCTCCCAGCCTCAGCGCCGTCCAGCCCCCGCCTTCGATCGATTGATTGTAAACTGGGCCGGCAGTGGACTTTCGCTCAACGGCGGGAACTGGGGCAACAAGAGGAAGAAGAGTGAATGAATTGAATAGCAGAGATAATTATACGAGTGAAGGCATTTTTAAGGAACCCCAAGGGCAGAAGAGAAAAAGGCAGAGCTTGGAAAGACGGTGAGAGGATTCGCCGCTATTAAGGTTGCAATGGCATCATGAGAGGGTCCAACTCGGCTGACGGACGGCATCACTTTTGGTCTTGAATGGCAGGGATCGTCGAGGCAAGGCGCCGATCTTTGCCCCCGCGGATGCGCGAAATCCCCAATTGACGAAAGTCTAGGCTAACACTAGTAGCCGGTGGTTGTTGTTGCGGGGAGACCGATAACTGGGGCCATTCACGCTGACTGACAGTCAGTTGTCTATAAAAGAGGGCATGTACCTGCTACTTTTCTCTCAATTATCAACAACCTCACTCTTCTAAACCTAATAATTCATATAAGCTTATAAAACTTACGACTATTATCACCCTACTACATCGAGCAATACTCCTCATCTCCAATCCTATTTCAACAGCCAAAATGCAATTCACTCTGCTCCTCTCCGCTCTGATGGCAATGATCATCTCAACCCTGGCCCTCCCTACCGGCGACACTCGTCTCGCTCAACTTCGCCTGTTCGGCGAACCTGGCTGCTACAATGAAAACATGGGCGAACTGGGCATTTATCGATCGGCTCTCAACCAATGCAAAACCTTCCCTGGCAACCAGACCATCGAGTCTGTTAGCTTCGAATACAATGTCGCCGGCTGTGGTGGTAAGCTTTTCTCCTCTGCCAAGATTATACAATTTCGCGTGCCTTGCTAATTCTGTATACAGTGCAAATCTTCACTGAAGACGATTGCTCCGCCGGCCAGCACAACGTCACCCTGGGACAATGCCTCCAAGGCGATGCCGAATATGTCAGCTACAAGTTGGTGTGCAACTAAGGGATTGACTTCATGATATTTTCTACGATAATGTCGATGATATTTGAGTGGATGGTGTATAATGAATGATGGAACAATGTATAGAGGAGAGGAATGGCCACCTTCCCACGCAGTCTCGGGAAAATAATAATTGTGTCTATACGGCCAGATGATGACGATGGATGATGGGACTTTATGACATGTTACGGTCGCGAATGCTGTACCTAATATTTACTGCCTATACGAATGATATGCAATCATGCTTTAATGCAATTGCATTATGTGTGCAATAGACGTTTCAGTCTTTCGGCGAGCTTGGTAGGCTGCTATATAGCGCAGCACATTTTACTTGGTCCCCGAGTATTGAAGGATACACTGTAGATTCCGTTACCCATTCTATCTATGCCTTTACCTATCTTAACGGGACAGCAGAAGTTAACAAACCCCATTCTAGAAGAAAGCTTGGTGCTACTGAAGGCACCATTAAAACATCGAGGCGAATACCACGCTTGATTGCATATGAAAAGCAACACATATATAACGTCCTGCGACCCTGAAAGCTCAGATTATGCTCAAGGACTAGCTTTGCATTGAGCTCAGCAAGTATAAATAGCAGATCAGCATGCTACATATGGTCAGACCGGAATTTCCTTGCGAATCCCGTTCTCATCTCGGGCAACTCAAAACGCCACACCATCCACTGCTCCATCAACACAACCGTCGCGCAAAAGGGGTGAAAACAAGGCGACTTCTGGAGACTGCGAGAATCTTTGCCCAGTTTTTAAAAGCCTGGAAGCCAACACAGAAGCCTGCTCATTGCTCATCACACTGCTCGAAGTAAGCACCTGTATTTCCCACGTTCGCTCATCAACAAATGAACGAACTCGCAGCTGATGCGGCAAATCGCCCCGGCCGTCCATTGAATATTGCACAACTTCGGTGTCTTTGAATGAGAACGATGGAATACTTTGCGTAGGGAAATGATTCAAGTAGCAGCCGTAGTCACTGCCTGCCGACCAGTTAGTGCAATTAGCAATGATGTCGGGCAGTTCGACGTATCCGTGACGGGAGGCCGAGGTGCAGCTCTCCTGTAAGCTCCGACAAAGGTCAAGGACCGTCCAATTCTGCTGCAGTTGCACTCTGATGGGACTGCGGTTGAAGCAGGGCCCAAGGAGAGTCTCCACTCCTGGGATGGGTCCACGGGCGTTCAGAGACAGTCCATATGTTACGTCGTGGGCTTTGGCCGTCTCGGCCAATGTGAAAGCGAACGCTGCATTGACAAGAATTGCGAGCGTGGTTCCTGGCGGTGGTGAGGGGAGTTCACCAGCTACGATTGCTTTCACATCTGTAGCTTTGGCCTCTCCTGGAAGGGTGGGGTCCGATAAGGTGGTCAGACGAGATCCTCGCAGATAGTCTTTCCAGAAGCTGAATGCCTCTGGTGAGCGGTATTTGGCAGATCTATATACATACTCCGCGAAGGGTACTGCTATTGGTGGTGAGAGTTGAAAGCCATTGTAAGCTGACTCCAAATCAGCGAAGAGGAGCGGCAGCGAAAATCCGTCGTACTGTGCATGAGACAACCGGACAACGAATGTGTGGTCTATCGGAGACTGAGAAACGAGTTCAAACTTTGTAAATAACTTTGTGGGGACATCGGAAGCACCGGAATCAGCTTCATCGTGAATTGCACCCCCGACCGACTGGTAGGTAAATGGAACGTTGACAGCTCGCAATACAACCTGAACGAATCTCCGTTCGAGTTTCATAAAGACAGTGCGTAATATACTGTGCTTCTGTATCACTGCAATACAAGCCCTTCTAAGCTCATTCACATCGACCTTGCCATGGATATTAAGGCGCATGGAGACTGGGGTCCAACGGTTAAGGAACCAAGCTTGTGTGTCCGTGACAGGAACTACATCAGCTACTTCGGTGGGATTCAGTCCGGTTCTGACAAGCTCGCTCGTAACGGCAGATGGGAGACTACCTCCGACAAGCGAGAATGGCGCGGAGCTCGAGGTTGAATTCTGAGAGGCGGGGACATCGTGTGTCGAACTGCGCCAAGATCGGATCCTTTCCGCCAGACCGGCAGCAGTTGGACACTCGAAAATATCACCGACTTTCACATCAGTATGGAGGCTTTGGTTGATTCCAACAACCAACTTTACCGCAGTCAGGGAGTGTCCTCCGTGGTCAAAAAAGCTCGCAGATATGCCGATTTCTCTGCCTAGCACCTTCGTAAATTCGGCAAGCAATGCACGTTCGACATCATCATGCGGGTTTACTCTAGCTGTGATGGTGTTTTGGGATGTATAGACAGCAGCCATGCTTGCCAAAGCCTTGCGGTCAACCTTCCCATTGCTGTTGACAGGGATTTGCTCCAATACCCTGACCATTCTAGGAACCATATACGGCGGTAATTCTTTTTGCAAGACCTTCCGTACCCAGTTACCGATATCTCGATTAGACGCCTGTTGTAGCGGATTGTTGCTCAATTGGCGAAAGGGTCGTTCATAGTGGTCATTTGGGAACCGGAATAGCACCCTTGACCCCCTGCGGTCAGGCTGGATGCGGTGGAAAATGACGTCCAGTCCGCCGCGTTGAGTGTATTGTCGGGCCCAGCTGATTTCGACTTGAAAGCCAGAATCCTCGGCTAGCTTGATTATATCGAGTGGCGCGAGAGACGGAATTTGTCTGGCGGTTTCACCGAGTGACTCAAGCCAGCCAGGTCCACCAACCCTGTCGACCAATCGACCCTTCAACTGGTCTACAATGAGTCGCTCCAGGATAGTCTTCCTATAAGGAATATTGCTTATTGCCACCACAGACGCATCATTGGTTCGTTGCTGCAGATATTCCAAAAGGGACGCGTGGGTCATCTCCGTCGCAGAAAAGTCAACCCATTGACCCTCCTCCACGTCGTGAATATGCCGCGGCTGAGCTTGTCGGTGCTTCGTGTGCAAGACCGCGGCATACCGGTAACAACTGAGCTCGTTGGTGGCTACCATACGCTTGGGAAGAATTTCCACATGCTCAATAAGCTGCCGGAATCGGTCTGGTAAGGATGTGAAAAAGGCCGGGTCTACCAACAGCTCCTCTTCCATGTGGACGGTTTCCGCCATCTGTAATCGGAAATCATCTGGGGTGAGTAGCTTTTGCCTATCACCGGCGAGAGCCTTGCTGACTTGAAATTCTTCGTACAATGCATACGATCGTATATCACCAAGGAAGATGCGTTTGGCGCCTTGCAGGCACACGAGGTCCTCCACAACCTTGAGCAAATATTCAGGGGAAGGGAAATACTGCGCCACAGAGTTGATAACGGCCACATCAACGGAGTTAGGCCCGTCAAGATTGCTGATATTGTCGGCTGTTCCCTTTTCCAACCGGACTTTGCCTTGCAGACCAGGAACAGTCGTGACAGCCGCCCGGACAAAATCAACTGCCGTGCTTGATGGCTCAAGCGCAGTGTAGCTCTCTAGCCCCGCCGTGATATTGAACAGGATCATGCCGGTGCCTGTTCCGATCTCAAAGACATGGCCTGGTGGGCCTCCATCAAGAAGTGCGTCAATAGCGTCGTCTAGCCATTCAGACATTTCGGCAGTATCAATCAGGGCACCGGTATACATCGACTTCCACCCGACGAAGTCCCTCCCAAGCTTACTAGAACAAAGGCAGGAAGGGTCGTAAATGTTTTTATCGAACAGATCTTTCCAGGCTTCCACTTTCTCCGCGTCGTCCTGGGTCTCTACCTCGGCCAGGTGCAAATCCTCGCCTTCGCTAATTGTGACGAAGCTGACCAACTCAGGATCCTGGGCAGTTTCTTGCCGGAAAATTGTCACAGCATCCTGGATGAAATCGTGCCCGAGCAGTGACTGATCAATCTCAGCCAGCTCCACGCGATGGCCACGTATCTTCACCTGCTGATCCATGCGACCAAAGTATTCAAGATGGCCATCAGTGGGCCGATATCGAACAAGATCCCCGGTCCGGTAGGCCCGTATTGGTAATTGCCCTGGGAGATCCAACATCACAAAGCGATCGGCATCGAGCCGTGAATCAATATACCCTTTAGCCAACCCGTCTCCAGTAACGACAAGCTCACCTATGACTCCCACTGGAACCAATTGGTTGCCCGCGTCCATCACGTAAGCACCGGAGTTGCTAATCGGTTTACCAATAGGTACACCATGAGGGTAGATCCCCTTCTCCGGAACGCTGTAGATGGTGCTCACTACCCCGTTCTCAGTTGGCCCATAGGCATTTATAAGCTCCCCTCGCACCAACGCGCGGGCTTGGATAGCATCAGATGGATCCAGTCGGTCTCCTCCGGCAAATAGGATCTCCAATTGACTTATGATGGATGCGCATTCAACCAAGCATTGTTTAAGCATAGCTGGCGTTATCATAGCAACTTGGATTCTCTCCCGATCAAAGGCCTGAGCGAGCAATCTGTAGTCGAGTACAGTCATACGGTCGATGCAAATCAGTGTTCCTCCATTGAGCAGTGCTGTGTATATCTCCCACACTGACATGTCAAAAGCAATATTGCTCATATGTGCTATGTTCGTAGCAGCATGGTCATGAGTGATAATGTTAGAACACTGTGTCAGCCTGACTATTGCCTTGTGCTGCATTATAATTCCCTTGGGTATTCCAGTGGAGCCAGATGAATACACGACGTATGCGACACTTTCGGCGCTGGGCATATTAGTCTTCACCGCATGCGGACTAGGTGTCTCAGCTTGGACCGTTGTAGCAAGAATATCTGAGATGGAAATAAAGTGAGGGTGGCTCAGACTGATACTTGGGGGCTCAATATGACCGCCCAGAAGGATAAGTCCGCAGGCTTGAGTGGATGACAAGATGATGTCCAGGCGGCTGACTGGGGATTTCACATCGAGGGGTAAGTAAGCGAGATTCGCTTTCAAGATACCTAGAAATGCGGTTATTGTCTCGCATCCCCTGTCCGCAAAGACCCCAATCACCGTTTCTGGAGCTAGCGACCGGTTGGTCAGAAAAAGGGCGACTTGATCTGATTTCGAGTCTAGCTCATGATATGTGAGCTGCGTGGAGCAGTCTTTGACAGCGACTTTGTCGGGGCAGCATCTGACTTGCCGTTGAAACACATCGACGATACTGGATTCCCGTGGATAATCTGTTTTCTGCATTTCGAGGAGGCCATACTTCTCCAGAGAGGATTTGGCGTTCGTAAACGGCATCAAATCAATAGGCGTAGTAGGTTGAGCTAGGCCGTGTTCAAGGA